ACCCCACTATATTGAAGTGTGAAGATGGGGAGAACTGCAGAGGTGGCTTTAGGTGTCTAATGAGTGCAGAAGTCACATTTCCCATGGACATTTTAGGATCTGACCTAACTTAGGGTGCAGGCAGCCAGTAACCTGGCCTTGGATCTCCACAGTTCGAGCGGACCAACTGTGAGTCACATTTCACTGGTCTGTCTTCTCCAGTAAAGGACTGTGCGTATTATTCACTTGTTTATTCAATAAGTGGCGGCTTCACGAGCACTGCTAAGGCCAGGCCTGGCACCAGGAGCTGGGGACAGACCAAATGGGCCAGGCCCACCTGGGAGGGGCCTGCAGTGGGCTGCAGGTGGAAGTCTGGTGCTTATTAAATAACCAAATAAGCGCGAAGTGCACAGGAGGGGCAGCAGCAGGGGACCAGGTGGGCGGTCGCGCCAAGTGCTTTTATTTTTCTGAAGACACGGAGCATGTTTAAGGCTGATGGGAAAGGGCAGGCCAGGAGGGATGAGTTGGCCGAGGAGGGTGAATGGGGGTCATAAAGCTGCCGATCTGGGGGGTGGGTTCCAGACTCGGAGTGGCCTCAGATGGGAGGGGTGGCTCCTCCAGCCCCTTCCTCCATTAAAAAATATGAAAATTGATATTTTACATCATTGGTATAAAGACAAATGGAATCCAGGCTGCATCCATTACTTGATACCCATCAGTGTGACACTGATTTTTCTTCGGATCTGACCCTATGAGCCCTGTAGACAGCCCTGTGCCCGTGGGGCTGTATGGAGAAGCCCCAGGAGCTGGCAGAGGATGGTGGGAACTCAGGCTGGGAGTGAGAGGAAACAGGAGTGCCAGGGGCAGCAGGCAGCAGAGCCCATATGCCGGTGCAGAGTCAGCGAGGCCTCCACCCAGAGGGAGGGAGGCAGGGGCTGGGAGTTAGGGATGAAGGAGCTCATTGGAAATCAGTAGAAAATTTTTGATGCTGAGGTCCAGAATGAGGTCTCTGGGGTCTGGTCACAGCCTCACCCTCCAGGACCTGCGTGCCCGAGCAGGCTCGTCCTCACCCTGTGGTATAGCTCTCTCTCCGCCAGACAGATGATATTGCCCCCTGCAGAGGGCTGTGGTCAGGATAAGAAGGGACTCACATGCGCTGTCAGTGGTAACTGCTGATCCCTGGAGGAGAAAGGAGGGTGCTGATTCTGGAGAGTTCCAGCTGAGCTGAGCAACGGGGCACTGCCTGGGACCCCTCAGTCTCGCCATTGTCCTGCCAGACAGGGCCTGGCTGTGTGACGCAGGCATGGGAAAGGCAGGCCTTGGGCACACTGAGGCTTAGGGATTTGCCAGATGGTGAGACACACTGAAAGAGTGGGCCAGTGTGGCCTGTGGACAGAGCGGCTGGAACCAGGGACCCAGAACTGACTCCGCACAGAGGTAGCAGGAAGGACTGCAGGATGCCTGCTTCTACGTGAGTTTCAGATACATGATGGACATTTTTTTTTAGTATAAGTATATCCCAAATAATGTGTGGGACACATTCAAACAATGATTCACTGTTTATCTGAAATTCAGATTGAGCTGGGCATCCTCTATCTGATCTGGCAACTCTTGAGGGACGCAGGTGGAGGGCAGCCGTTGTATGGTAAATTCTCAAGGTAGAGACTGAGGCTGGAATCAGAACGGGGGGCACGTGCTCGTGCCGTGAGGTTGGACGGTCTCCAATCATCTCGGGTTCTAAGGTCCTCACAGGAAAGGAGTGGCGAAGCTAAAGAGAGCAGGTGTTCACCTGTGCAGGTGTCGGGTCTGCCCCTCTTACAGCAGAGCCATGCACACGACACACAGGACAGGGCCCAGCTTCGCGACAACCTGGAAACTCACTTCAGCTCCCTGAGGCCAGAGGGGGAAGACTGTGATGGCTGTGGGGGCTGGGTGGTGGTCCCTAAAAGGATATATCCATATCCTAAGCCCCATAGCTGACCTCCTTCTTTCAAAAGAAGTCCTAAATTCCTAAATCCTAAGTGACAAATGTCTTTGTAAGAGGCAGAAGAGAAGGCCCAGACATAGAAGAGAGGAGGGAGCTACAAAAAGACGAAGGCACAGACTGGAGGATGTGGCCATAAACTGAGGAATGCCGGAGCCATCAGAGCTGCAAGAGGCCAGGAAGGACCCTCCCCTAGGTCCCCAGAGGGAAGGCGGCCCTGCCCACACCTGGATTGAGGATTTCTGGCCTTTAGAGCTATTTGAAAATCCATTTCTGTTGTCCCAAGCCACCCAGCTTGTGGTCATCTACTGCAACAACCCAGGACAGTCCCCGTAGCTGCAGGCGACAGTGCAATGCGATGGAAGAGGGCTCCTGGGGGTGGGGGTTGCACGTGGACCGGCATGGGGCTCTCACACTGACTTTCTCACACTATGCTCACTGCCATTCTGAGAGGCCTGGCACAAGCCACCTGGTAGGAGCAACTGGTGGACAAACAGGGGCTCTGGACACGTCCCCTGCACAGTAACACTCGGCACCCAGGACATTTACAACCAGAAAATCACTGTCGTGTTAAAAACAAATCCGCATAAAATCAGTACCGTCTCTCCTCGCGGCCTCCTTCGCGACAGTCTGCTTCCTCTTTCTTGTTCTTCCTTTTCCTGAAGCAGCTGCCTTTGCTTGCCCTGAGCCACACTTCTCCAAGTGTCTATGCATGTTACTCTGCCGGAGAATTGACACAGAACACACAAGGCCAGTGAGATGGAGCAGGGACCCCCTTCAGGGGTCTGGGGGGACCCCCAAACATGGAAATAAAGGAAAATCCTGAGTTCTTTTGAAGGAAACTCCAGGTACTTTGCTAGCCCTAAGGAGTGAATGAGAAACCTGATTAGCAAGAAGGAGGCTGGGCACGGTGACTCACACATGTAATCCTAGTGCCTTAGGGGGCCAAGGAGGGAGGGCTGCTTGAGTCCAGGAGTTGGAGACCCACCTGGCAACACAGTGAGACCCCATCTCTACAAAAGATACAACATAAAAAAAATTTGCCCGCTGTGGTGGCATGTACCCTGAGATCCCAGCTACTCATGAGGCGGAGGTGGGAGGATCGCTTCAGCCCGGGAGGTCGAGGCTGCCGAAAAAAAAAAAAAAGGAAAATAGAAACCTAAAACAACAGCCAAGGAAGCTAAACTCGGGTGTCTGATGCCCTTACAGAAACCTAAGGTAACGGCTGCTTTTTGAGATGGAGCCTCGCTCTGTCCCCCAGGCTGGTGTGTGGTGGGACGATCTTGGCTCACTGTAACCTCTATGTCCTGGGTTCAAGCAATTCTCTTGCCTCAGCCTTCCAAGTAGCTGGGACTACAGGTGAGTGCCACCACACCCAGCTAATTTTTATATTTTTAGTAGAGACAGGGTTTCACTATGTTGGCCAGGCTAGACTCAAACTCCTGACCTCCAGTGATCCACCTGCCTTGGCGTCCCAGAGTGCTGGGATTACAGGTGTGAGCCACCGCACCGGGCAAGGTAGTATCTTAACATCTGTCCCTGAGTTGTTTTTTAGAAACCTGGGTCTTTACCAAACAGATCCCCTGGCAGGTAGACCTAAGATAAGGGGGAACTGGGGGCTGAAATCTGACCATTGCTAAATCTGTTCTAATTTTGTTCTTAATTTCCTCCTGAGAGGCCTGGAGGGACAGGTCATGCCCATGAACCAGAGCTAACATTCTTTTCTGTTGACCCCAAAATTTTAAACAAAACTTCTGTTCCTTAACCAATTGCAAACCAGAGTCTCTGAATCTACCTACAACCTGTAAGCCCCTGCTGCAAGGTATCTGACCCTTTCAGGGCAATGTATCCTGCATGCACGGATCTACGATTTCATCTGTAGTTTCTGCTTGCTTGGCACACTGCAAATAAACACCTTCCTTTCTTCTGCTGCAAACTGCAGTGTGGATATCTGGTCTTACTGCACCAGGCAAGCACATCCCAGTTTGGTTCTGCGACAAGAGATGGCTTCCCCAAATTCACTGAAAAATGCACAAAGAGGCAGGCTTTGGGAAAACTGTGGGCAGCATGGACCTTTGATAATCTTGTACAAAAATGATGACTGCTAAAGGTGGCCCTTTCTGTTGTGTTTAGGGCTAGTCAAATACTAGCTTGCTTTAAGTAGTTTTTAAATAATAGAAATCAATGAGAAGACAAAATTTATTTTTCTAGAATGTTTCTACTCTTGAAAGCTAAGGCTGATGTTGAACCAAAAATTCAGTCAATTTTATAACCATCAACCACATACCATAAAGGTTTTACTATTCTGTTAGCTTCTCTCTCAAAGCTACTGGGCAGAGGTCATGGCTGGCAGTTATGAAACTGTATACAGCATTCAGGAATAAAAGTCAAACACTTCCCAGTCAAGCCTATTCATGACACCATCTCATCTAATGAACACTTAGGATAATTTAAGTTAGAAAATTTTCACTTTTTGAAAGGGTCCCAGGCAAAACTGGTAATGGGTGTTTAAAGTTGAAATCATACAAAACATCTTGCCTGGTTCCCATTTCGACTTTCCCACTGTGCTTAACAGGACGGCCTGCGTTTATGATGGAAGGACTAAGAATTTATGCGTTAAGTGGGGGCAATGTAACAGGTTGTTTAAACTTCTTCCATTTTATGCTTAGACACTGGGGTTGGCAAATGATGACCAGCGTGTCAAATCTGGCTGCCAAGTGTTTCTGAAAGAAAGCAAGTTTTACTGGGACACAGCCAGGCCTATTCATTTACAAACTGCACCCACAGCTGCTTCTGTGATACAAGGGCAGAAACTGATTTGCGTTGCCCTGGTGATTGATGACGCTGTGCTTATTGGCCAGCTGTATGTCTTCTTTGGAGAAAGGTCTATTTAGACACTTTACCTGTTTTTCATTGGGTATCTGTCTATTTACTGAGTTACGAGACTTCTTCTCATATTCTAGATATAAGTCCAAATATGCTTTCTTGAATAGGAGTTTTAAAACTTCTGATTTTATGTTCTGAGGGACAGCATGAAGCAGACTTGTTCTTTTCTCTACATTCTTATTTCTTGCACCAAAGGGCAGTTTCTTCTCTTTATAATTCTACTCGCTAATTTTAACTCTTTACAATTTTAGCATGAGTGACACTGTTTTGGGAGCACTGCCACTGCTTTTATTTGAAATTTTAAACTAATAGGCTTGACATTTCAGAACTATCCCACTGTGCCACTCAGAAAAACACAACTACATTACTGTTTTCTTTTAAGAAGAAAGATTTTTTTTTTTAATGGTCAACTTCAGAAAATTCAACTTTTTTTAAACTTTTATAAAGTTAGGCTGAAGCCTGCATGGTCCAGGGATCTAGCTAGCCATGTGCAGTGGTTTTTAAATGTCCTGAAATTCTTTGACGCTCTTAATTTCAAAAGAAACTTCATTCCCCACTCCTTGAGTGTGGGTGGGACTCCATGATTCATTTCTTGTGACTAGAAGTAATGTGCCACTTTTTTTTTTGAGACAGAGTCTTGCTCTGTCACCCAGGCTGGAGGCCACTGGTGCCATCTCAGCTCACTGCAACCTCCATTTCCCAGGTTCAAGTGACCCTCCTGTCTCAGCCTCCCAAGTAGATGAGATTACAAGAATGTACCACCATGCTTGGCTAATTTTTTTTTTTTTTTTTTAGTAGAGACAGGGTTTCACCATGTTGGCCTGGCTGGTCTCAATCTCCTGGCCTCAAATTATCTGCCTGCCTTAGCCTCTCAAAGTACTGCAATTACAGGAGTGAGCCCCCATACCTGGCTGTTGTGCCATTTAAAAGACTACATTGCAAAAGGCACCGTGGCTTCCTGCCTGCACTCTCTCACTTGCTCTGAGTCAGGAGGACACTCCAGCAGCCCTGCACAGAAGTCCCTGTGGCAAGGACTGAGAGGCCTGGGCCAGCAGCTGGTGGGTGAAGCTATGCTGGAAGCAGAGCCTCTGGCCCCAGTCCAGCCTTCGGATGATGCAGCCTAGTGGACACCCTGACTGCAACCTCAGGAGTGACCCTGAGCCAGGACCACACAGTTAAGCCGCTCCAAGTTCCCAACCTGCAGAAACTAACAGATGACAAATGTTTGTGGTTTTAAGCCACTCTATTTTGAGGTAATATGTCATGCAGAAATAGATAACTTATACAACACCTAAAAGAATACACCATAAATGTATTGCTTAGCCCAGTACCAACAGCACTATTCTTTTTTTTTAATTTAAAAAATTATTTTACAGACAGGATCTCACTCTGACTGAGGCCAGAATGCAGTGGTGCGTTCATGACTCACTGCAGCCTCCAACTCCTGGGCTCAAGTGGTCCTCCCGTCTCAGCCTCCTCAGCAGCTAGGCCTACAGGGGTAGACCACTACACCCAGCTAATTTTTTTGGAGGGATGGAGGGTCTCCTTATGTTGCCCAGGCTGATCTCAAACTCCTGGCCTCAAGTGATCCTCCCACCTTGGCCTCCCAAATAGCTGAGATTATAGATACCAGTAGCATTATTCTAGGGACATCTGAGAAATGTGTGAAAATTGCATTCTCTCTGTCAAGTAGCCTAAATCTAGTTCACTGGAACAATTTGAAAATATTACTCTAAAAGCTGGGGCTCTTTGGGGAGTCTGATGACTCTCTAAAACTATCTGTAAGATTTTGTTTGTTGGATTGTCCTTTTGTTTTAGGGGATGAGGAGACCACACTTTCATAGAATTCTTCAAGAATTTTGTGATTTTAAAAAACTAATAACCACTTTCCTAAGGCATGACAGACGCTCCTGAAGTCCTGGCAGGTTTCTATAACCAGGTTTAAACTCTCCTGGTCTGACATTGTCCTCCTAAGATAGAGGGATCTTTCCACGGGGGATTTATGGTGACTTAAATAAGCTTACCCAGCGGGAAAAGCCTTTGTCACACTTGGGGCATTTGTAAACAGCTGGGATGAAACTGGCATCGTGATATTTCCTGAAGTGAACCTTTAGAAGTTGCTTCTGCCGGAAACACTTATTGCAGGAAAGGCAGGTGAATGGTTTCTCTCCAGTGTGGGTGCGAACGTGAGCAGTCATATGACGTGCCTAAGACGGAAGGGGAAGAAAGCAGCTTGTCTAGTTCGAAGTGTCTTTTTCCACATTAGACATTATTTATTGTACAATACCTTTTATTTCCCTCCCCAAAGATGAGTCCATTATTAAGCAGAATTACTGCAAACACATTCTCAACAGGGCGGCATTCACTCTCAGGATGATGTGCCCTCTAGGAAACAAACTTGTATGCGGCGCCAGCAAGTGATAAAGGTCTTGCAGTGAATTCCTTGCCGGCTCTCCAATCCAACTGGGGATGTGGGAGTACACACCTCAGGGCGTGAAAGGATGGTTCCTTGTCCCCTCATGTACTGGGAGTCATCCTTCTATACAATTATTTGCAATTACCTGAGTTTACAAAAGGCAAATAGAACCTGCAAACTTAAAAATCAAATGTCAGAGTTTAAATTCAGCGGGCATTTGGGGTTGTAAGTATGTTAAGTATCTAAACATTTTTCCATTTACCTCCCAATAGTATCATAACAGATCTTAATGCCAATTTTTTTCTGAGACAGGGTATCGCTCTGTCACCCAGGCTGGAGTACAGTGGCACAATCAGCTCCCCGCAATCTCAAACTCCAGAGCCAAAGTGATCCTCCCACATGAGCCGCCTGACTAGCTGGGACTGTGGGTGTGCGCCACTATGCTCAGCTCAGTTTTTATTTTTGCAGAGACAGGTTCTCACTATGTTGCCCAGGTTGTCTCAAACTCCTAGCCTCAAGAAATTCTCCTACCTCAGCCTCCCAAAGTGCTGGGATTTAGGTGTGAGCCACTGTAACTGGCCTAAATAGAGATTTTAGCTTAGACAGGAGAAAATAATTTGGGAAATCAGGACAAAAATACGTATGAAGTCAGGCAAAAGTACACATTTTGTTTTATTTAAAATGTGATGACTATTTGGATTAAATGTATATTTGGTCTTTTCTGCATTACGGTCAATAATCTAATTGGCGGTCTTTCTTCTAATTTTTCTTTCAACCAATTCACTGAACACTCTCTTCCACACACAGCTTTCATCTCATCGCCCTCCTTTGGGACAGAATCTCTGGTCTGCCTGCTGGGAACCTGGCTCTTCAGGACGGCAGTGGCCAGGAGTGCCCAGCAGTGCTCCGGGCCTCCGCCGGAGGCCACAGCATGGCTAGCTGCTATCTGCTCCCACACGCCCGCTGCATGCCTGCTCCAGGCCCCTCATCCTCTTTAAGTCTTATCCGCCTTTCAGGAAGCCCTCCTACTTCATTTGAACAAATCTGGGCCTAGGACCTCAGAAAATTCTTTGTTCAAAATCTACCAGAAAAACTCTTTTTCCTTTATTCAAAGCATTTACAGTTTACAGCCCACATTTCAAAACACAGTAAGCACTGATTTTCACCTTTGGTAACCAACAGCTTGCAGTGCTTCAAAGCAGTGATTTGGTTTTCAAACTTCGAGTCTTAGGACCTTTTATACTTTAAAAAATTACTGCGGCCTCTGAAGAGCTTTTATTTGTGCAGATGGCATGTATTAGTATTTACTTTCTTAGCAAAACTGAGGAATTCTAAAGAATTTTAAAAAATAAGTTTATCTAAACATTTAAAAATAACAACAAACCAGCTACCTATTATTTTTGTAAAATTATATTATTTTTCAAAACAAAACTAACCTAATGTCTGTCTTAATAGATAAGGTTGCCAGTTACAATATAGGCTGCAACATACTTGTATATAAAACTATTCATGGCCGGGAGTGGTGGCTCACGCCTGTAATCCAAGCACTTTGGAGGCCAAGGTGGGCAGATCGCTTGAGGCTGGGAGTTCAAGACCAGCCTGACCAACATGGTGAAACCCCGTCTTTAAAAAAAAAAAAAAAGAATTAAAAAAAAACCAAACTATTCATTGTCTGAAATTCAAATGTCACTAGGTGTACTGTATTTTTATTTGCTAAGTCTGACAACTCCATTCAATATTCAGATGGATTCCCATCTCTGCTCTTCCCTCAGTCCACTGAGTATGTTAAGTGATAAAGAAAATCTGCTCTCATAGACACGTAGTTTGAAAAAAGAGCAACATTTTACTAGCTCTTCCAAATAACTGTGGGCATTCTTTCTCCACTATTAGACCAAAGTCAGTTAGTAGTAATTTCTTTTTTTAGAGTCTCACTCAGTTGCCTGGGCTGGAGTGCAGTGGTAGGAACATAGCTTATTGCAGCCTCAACTCCCTGGGCTTAAGTGATCCTCCAACCTCAGCCTCCTGAGTAGCTGGTAGGACTATACAGATAGGCACCATCAACCCAGCTAATTTTTGTATTTTTTTTTTGTAGCGATAGGGTCTCATTATGTTGCTCAGGTGGGTCTTGAACTCCTAAGCTCAAGAGTTCTGTCCTCCCCAATCTCCCAAAGTGTTGGGACTATAGGTGTGAGCCAGTATGTCTGCCCATGGTAGTTTCTTAACCATGGGTTGCAGTGTGGAATCTGGAACCCTGTCAATAAACTTGTTCTCCTCTATGAAGTTAAAATCTCTTGGTTTATCTTTTACTTTGAATGGATCTTTTACCTGTGCATGAGTCTGTAACATCATGGACTGGTCATTTGGAAAATACTGGTTTACTGAGTTATACAGATTTTCTAAATGCTGACATATTTCATTACACAATATAAAAATTGCTTTTAAAAATCACTCCAATCTTATCAGAAAAATCTTAAGTATTAGAAAGCTGTTAAGCTTATAATGGTGAATATATATTTTCCAAAATTTGAATTCTGATTTTTCTCTTGAAAAGTGAAATTGCCTCATTGGTCATATGTGTTTCCCTTTTTTTTTTGAGACGGAGTCTCACTCAGTCACACAGGCTGGAGTGCAGTGGCGTGATCTCGGCTCACTGCAACCTCCTCCCCCCAGGTTCAAGCGGTTCTCCTGCCTTAGCCTCCCAAGTAGCTCGGATTACAGGTGTGTACCATCATACCCAGCTAATTTTTGTATTTTTTAGTAAGATGGGGTTTCACCATATTGGCCAGGCTGGTCTCGAACTCCTGACCTCGTGATCTATCTGCCTTGGCTCCCAAAATGCTGGGATTACAGGCGTGAACCACTGTGCCTGGCCTACGTTGTTCATTTTCAAAAAAAAGTCCACCAACACCCAATGACTGAGTAAATAAAGTTCGTTTATCTTGTTCCTTTCTCAGTGAAAATGACATTCACTGAGAAAGTGGCTAATTGAGCTGGAAACTCAAAGAGGCCCCAAGTGCTTTCCCTCCAGGCTTCAGATGATGGAGGTGCATATGCCAGCTTCTCATCGCATCACAAAGAATATTTAAAAGACAGTATTTCAGGTCAAGATTGAATAAAGTTAACAACTTTTGCTGCTTCTTCAAGGACACTGTCATATAAAACTGCTCTTTATTTTTGCTGCCAGTGTGTGAAGGTGAAGAATACTGCAATGACCTGTTCCGCTGGGTGTCACTGCCTTGATCTGGGCTAAGGACCACCACTACTTTGGCACCGAAAGTGCAAATGTCAATGTCTCAAAAGGGCAAATGACACCTTTCCATTATCCTAACAAGGGCTTGGCTCTTGCGGGCCCCTAGTTAATTGCAGGGACCTCTAGGGGTATGTGAACATTCTTTAAGAACTGCTATTTCGAATGACTGGCTCACCATCGCTTTCTAGTTATTCTGACTCTTCTCAGTATTTTCAAAGCAGTAGAGAATCCCATCCCAACTCTCCATTCTTCCATGCCCCACTGCCTCTCCAAATTAAGTAAAGTACAATACCTGCTTGCAGGCGTAACTGCAGTGTTCACACTTGAACCTCTTCTCATTTTTATGAGTTTTCTGGTGCTGAATGAGGGCATAGCGTTCATGGAAGACAGCAGAACAGTAGCGACATTTCAGCTCTGCAGCACTGTAAGTATGCAAGTTGCGGATATGGACACCTGAAACAGACAGAACATTATCTACTTCAAGAGTGTTGCTTTCTGTTAGCCTGCTTCCCTTCTCTCCTACATGGGGGTTTCCTTCCTGGGCAGGGCGGGGTGGGCTATCCTGTGCGCTGTAGGGTGTTAAGGATCATTCCTGGTCTTCGTCTACCAGGTGCCAGCAGCACCTCCTCCCTCACCAGTTGTGAAAGCCAAAATACCTCTAGATATCACCACATGTCCTCTGGGGGGTAAAACATTCCCAGTTGAGAATCACTGCTCTAAACGAACAGAATGCTGAAATATCATTTTAATAGTTTTTCAAATGGAGTTAAATGTTATATAAGGTATGTCATACTGGACCTAAAATGTTCATTTACCAAAGCACTTGGAGAACTACCGTATTATGGGGTAGGTGGATTTTAGGATGATGTTAAGGTGGATTTATATAAAAAGATATAAAATCTTTATTTTACCTTAAAAAATCCATACATTGTTAGAAGTCAGTGCCCTGTTATTTCCTATGTTAAAATTAACCTGATAGACCCAGTAAGGTCTGGCTGGGTATGCTCTAGGGCAAGTTTTGCTCATCTAAGTCTAAAGAATGGTGGCTTTGTGATATTTGTGTAAGAAGCCAAATGACAATTGATAGCTGCATGATAGAGGTATTCCACTTTACCCACAGTGACTCACACATTTAGAGAGCTTGAATTCTCATACAGTTATGGGAAGGAAGAACTAACGTGTTTATAAAGCATCCTACAGGCTATTCAAAGTGTATCACCCACTGGCATGAGATAGATATAAACTGGGTTACTTTGCCATGGTGTCAAAAAAGTCTAGCAACTGGGTAGACTTACGCCCCACGGGGCTGTGTTTCGTGATGTGCTAATATCTATGGCAACAATAACAAAATGGTCCAGATGAAAAATAAAAGTTAAGACTCTGTGAAACACCCTTAGCCTTTCAGAAAAGTTTTCAAAAAGTTCATCTTCTCTCCAGAATTTCTTTGGCCAAAAGGGTAAATATTTTGTTTTGCTAACATATTTTGCGTATCACAGTGTCGTATATTTTGGCAAGAGAAATAGGATCATGGAAAAAGGGAGGCCCAAGAATCCTGAAACCAAGAAGAGGCTCATTCACTCACGCTTACCCACACCTTCCCTTCCATTGCTCAACTCTGGCTGGCTTCCCCGCAGGCAGCATCAAATCCCAGCTTTCCTAGGCCTGGTGCTCCAAGTCCTTCTGGACTCCCACTCCCACTCTGTGATGTCTGACAGTTAAAAGGCTCTCACCACGTCAGATGCGGATTATGCATTACAGACTCGCCTCCTTTCCCCAAGTGACTGTCCTAAGGGGAAAACTGTGTCTTTTGTAAATTCTGCTCCCAAAACTCTTTAGGCCCATAGCCAGGATTTAAGAAAAGGTGGCTGGGTGTCACGGAGAGAGCATTGATATATAGGAACCCAGGATCCAGCCACTTCCTAGCATCCTTGGTCATGTGACTCCCAGGCAGGTTTCTCCATGTCTCTGTGCCTCAGATCCTAATCTGAAAAACAGGCTGAATGTGGAATTAAATCATACCCATCTGTGAAAGGTTTTAGCATGCACAGAGGGAACAGGCCCGGGCCCGGATTCTAAAAACATGCTATAAAATGCACTTATAAGATGCGGCCACCAGATGGCGCAACAGGACCTCTGGAAGAAAATTTGTCCCAGGGCGAAGTTCCCAAAGACCGGGCATCCCGTGTCAGGGCCAGTACTTTGCAGGTTTACAGGACCTTGCTCCAAAGAGCCAGCAAATATTGTAGTAAAAGAAAGAGCACTAGAACAGACACTCACGTAGGTCACTTTTCCGTGCAATGATGGTGGCACAATGGGGACACTGGTGTTTGGGGACGTTTTCGTTGTGTTTCTGCTGAGTATGTATTTTCATGGTCCCACTCTGGGTGAAGCGGGCGTGGCAGACGTGGCATTCGTAAGGCTTCTCACCTGAGATGTAGACAACAAAGTGATTCCCCCTCCAGGCCTGATCCTTGCCGAAGGACACCTGTGCTGAAAGCATTTCTTTTTTTTTTTTTTTTTGAGACAGAGTTTCGCTCGTTACCCAGGCTGGAGGGCAATGGCCCGATCTCGGCTCACCGCAACCTCCGCCTCCTGGGTTCAGGCAATTCTCCTGCCTCAGCCTCCTGAGTAGCTGGGACTACAGGCACGCGCCACCATGCCCAGCTAATTTTTTGTAGTTTTAGTAGAGATGGGGTTTCACCGTGTTGACCAGGATGGTCTCGATCTCTTGACCTCGTGATCCACCCGCTTCGGCCTCCCAAAGTGCTGGGATTACAGGCGTGAGCCACTGCGCCCGGCCTGAAAGCGTTTCTTTTGTCCCAAGCTGCCCCTTCTCACAGGACAGTCCCCAGTTAGTATGAGACTCCCCAGTCAAGCCAGACAGCTTATGTCAAGTACAGCTGTGTCCAGGACCGACCAGAGACGCAACTTTTCTGCATCTGGTAGTAATGCAAAAGTTTAAGGTGGTTCACATCCATGGGGTTGTATGAAGAACCAGGAAGTGCCCATAAATGTATTCTTTACACAACCAGACATTAAGTACCTGTGTTGTTTTATGTTTTGCCTTAAAGTTGAAGAATGAATTAAGGAGTTGATTTTTATTGTGTTTTTATTTACTTATTTTCTTTCTTTTGAGATGGGTTCTCGCTCTGTTACCCAGGCTGGAGTGCAGTGGAGTGATTCCGGCTCACTGCAGCCTCAACCTCCCAGGTTCAAGTGATTCTCCTGTTTCAGCTTTCCAAGTAGCTGGGATCACAGGTGTGCACCACCAGGCCCAGCTAATTTTTAAATTACATGTAGAGACAGGGTCTCCCTATGTTGCCCAGGCTGGTCTCAAACCCCTGGACTCAAGTGATCCTCCTGCCTCGGCCTCCCAAAGTGCTGGGATTACAGGTTTGAGCCACTGTGCCTGGCCGGGAGTTGAGTTTTAAATACCTGAAAAATCTATGGAGGGAACTACTTCGTGTTTTATGCTGCGCAGTGGGGTTGCAGCACAGTATCTATGCAGACTCTCTTACTGCTAAATAAACGCAAAGGGACAGATCAAAATCCTCGTATCCCAAAGGCATACAAAAGTCCACTTTTACCTTTGAACTTTAACTGTGCCAATAAAAAGTAATTTTTTAAAACTTGCTTTAAGAGCTAACACTGTACGTATCAGGCCTTCAGCACCAGAGCCCTTACCTGAGTGCGTTCTCATGTGGCGTTTCAGTTTGTAGGTGTCTCTGCTGGCGTAGCTGCACTGGCAGCATTGGAAGGGGCGCTCCCCCGTGTGGGATCGGACATGGCGCTTCAGTTTACTTGCCTAATAAATACATAAAAGATGTTCATTGCAATGGAAACTCAAAAATTGCAGTGTCTTCCATTAATCAGCATTATAAAAGAGATTTCAATGAATCAGATTTTAACATCAGAGCATGAGAGCATATTTCACTCATTGAAAAAACATGAAAAAGTCATCACTTTTTATCATTTGTTATGGGCAATTTTATTTCATTTAATGTGTGTGTGTGTATAAGCTCCTTTAGGGAAAACGAGCAGCACTTCTGAGAGGCTTTCGCATTCAGCTTCACTTCAAGCCCACCTGCCGAAAGCCATACCAGACTTTATTTTCACTTCTAGGACAACACATTCTCAATAATTACAAAATTTACATTACACCATAAAAGCACAACAGCAAACATTTTTATTTCTTGCATAAAGTGAAAATTTTGAAACTCTAGCTCTTGCTGGGTGTGGTGGCTCACACTTGTAATCCTAGTACTTTGGGAGGCTGAGGTGGGTGGATTGCCTGAGTTTAGGAGTTTGAGACCAGCCTGGGCAACATGGCAAGACCCTATCTCTACCAAAAATAAAAAATCAGCTGGGCATGGTGGCGCATGCCTGTGGTCCCAGCTACCTGGGAGGCTGAGGCTGGGAGTATTGTTTGAGCCTGGGAGGCTGGGGCTGCAGTGAGCTGAGATCATGCCACTGCACTCCAGCCAGCATAACAGAGTGAGACCATGTCTCAAAAAATAGAATAAAAATGAAACCCTAGCTCTTTAATGGAGGGACATCTGTATGTGTCACCTCACGGTCACAAGTCCTGCAGACTCCACCCTGGCTGGCCCCAGGGTAACAGTGTGAGTGGAGGAAGGTGTCCCTGGCTACTCAGCATCGGTACCATGTGACAGTGGGATCCTAAGAAGAATTAAGTTTTAAGCAGAAGAAATTAAATTCTAATTTGAATAATTACGTATCCCAGGCAATCAGTTAAATAGCAAACAACATAACACCTCCCATTTGAGCATTCACTGCCTGACTGGTTTATTGCCTTCTAGAACTATTCTTATTCTGTATTTGTGTATGGTAGCCCCTATCTACCCCTAGCAGGAAATTGGACTGTCAACTATACGTGGACTACAGAAGTTAGGAAGCCACATCAGTCCTGCTGGTGACCCACGGACGCCACATTCCACCTACCTCCCCAGTAAGTGATGAGCGCACAGAAGCCTAAGGAACACTCAAGAACAAATGGCTTACAATGGAAAACAATAGCCAAGCCAAAAATTTTTGCTTAGATTTTTAGAAGAAAAGTGAATGCCTTCAAGCATATTCGCAAAATGAAAAGAATCTTTAAAACTACAGAGCATGAAAGGTCTGAGGAGGATAAGTGGTGTAAACGAGCAGAGAAGGCCGCTATAAAAAACTCTGGATGACTCTTTTTTTTTTTGAGACGGAGTTTCACTCATGTTACCCAGGCTGGAGTGCAATGGCCCGATCTCGGCTCACCGCAACCTCCGCCTCCTGGGTTCAGGCAATTCTCCTGCCTCAGCCTCCTGAGTAGCTGGGATCACAGGCACGCACCACCATGCCCAGCTAATTTTTTGTATTTTTAGTAGAGACGGGGTTTCACCGTGCTGACCAGGATGGTCTCGATCTCTTGACCTCGTGATCCACCCGCCTCGGCCTCCCAAAGTGCTGGGATTACAGGCTTGAGCCACCGCGCCCGGCCTCTGGATGACTCTTAAAGGTGGGATGGGAGGACAAGTTGAGTTCAAAAGCTTTTTTTTTTTTTTTTTTTTTTAGGCAGTGTTTTGCTCTGTCACCCAGGCTGGAGTACGCCATCTTGGCTCACTGCAACCTCTGCCTCTCAGGTTCAAGCAATTTTCCTGCTGTAGCCTCCTAGGTAGGTAGGACTACGGGCATGTGCCACCATGTGTGGCTAATTTTTTGTATTTTAAGTAGAGACGGGTTTTCACCATGTTGGTCAGGCTAGTCTCGAACTCCTGACTTCAAAGCAATCCACCTAGTGCTGGGATTACAGGTGTGAGCCACTGTACCCGGACAGTTCAAAAGCTTTTTTAAAAAAATGCATGCATCTGTACCATAGCTCTGATACATTCCTGCTGGGATTTGTGTCATGGGATGGGATGAGGGAACAAGCAAACATGGCAAGACTTAGAGACTGCAAAAATGGGGGGCTATGGCAGCAGCAGAGACCCCTGTGCTGAGGACACCTCCCACAGGCTGCGTGCAGACCGCTGGCACCGGGAGAGGGTCTCGCAGGCCTGGGAAGTGTGCCCCGAGCACTGGCAGGACACCAACACCAAGTCCACTCCAGGCCTAGGATCCCCAGCTGACTCTCTTCCCTGAATCCTTCATTCTACATTCTCATACTCCAATCACAACCTTTAACTCAGATGAGAAATAATTTTTTAAAAATAGTAACAGCAGAAAAAAGTTGTTGGCATCAAATTCTGACCCTATCCATGAAATTTCCTAATTTGTGAAACCCAGCTGCATTGTTACTGTATTTAATCTTTAGCCCTTCCCTTTAACTTAGTTCCATCTGAGTGTACTGTTTACCCAGTCCTGACCGGGCTAAATATCGGCCTAAGCCTGTTTCCCAACACACAGTGGGACTCCGAAAATTAACTGGTGGAAAACTGGCAGTGATGAGTCAATGATGTTTCATGTTAGTACCGCTAGACCTGTTAGAAGGCACAAATAAAGCAAATTAACTAAAATTAATTAAAATGACCATGACACACCTTAAGTTTGGAAAGGGCAGTCTCTCTGTAATTAAGAACAGCAGCGGCTATGCTTAAACCTTCAAGCAAGCCGCTGTATATCTAACCAAGCTCAGAAATTTCAGTCAACATTCAGATTGGATCTGCATTCTACGTTAGAGCAAACACATTTTGATTTCGTGGCCCTGAGTACTAGATAAAATGCAGAACTCTTAGACAAATCTGGGACTTATTTCTCCACCACAAGTAATTTATTTGAAATTTGTACACCTTTACATATTATTTTCACTAATTACTAATCAAAGAAACAAAGAGATCCAATTTTCTATTTTAACTTCATAAAAGAGAATACACATTACTTCCTGCATACATTTTATATGAATAGTATCTTTGGCAAAGCCTGTTTGTAACAGATTCTACTGTTAGTTACACTTGACATAACTTGTATAGCAGCCTCTACTAAGACATCACGAAGCTTCAAGTCCAAGAGTGGCCTCACCTCTACGCTGGCGTACTTGCACATGGAGCATTTAAAGGGTTTCTCATGAGTATGTTTATAGCGTCTGTGTCGGACAAGTTCTCCACTGGTGACAAATGCCATGTTGCAGTCGCTACACTTATAGGGCCTGGTTCCTGTAAAATCACAGTTCCTGCTTTTAAAACAAGACTTAACCAAAAACTCCAAGGAATTCATAGCTTTTAAATTATACTCAGTCTCAAATATGCTTTAAAAATTAAGAAGAGGCTCTTTATAAATACCATATATACACGTGAGAAAAATCTTTGTAACTCAGTATTTTTAATGGAAATTCTAGAAAAAAAAAGACTAAAGTATAAAACGCTACACAATGCTACTGTGGAAGCAGGGGATTCACATTCTTACATAAGCCTGAACACACACTATTCCAGAGAAATGCCTGCCCTGAGGTTTTACCTGTGTGGGTATTGACATGGTTCCGTAGCAGAGTGGCTGTGCGGAAGGTTTTCAGGCAGAGGTGACACAGGTGAGGCTTCTCACTGGTGTGAGTTTTCATGTGACGATGAAAACTTGACATTCTTGAAGAGGTGAACACGCAGACATCACAGCAGAAGGTTCGTTTTGCTCCTATAGGCAGGGAATAGTTTATGTATTCATTCATTTCGAGGTTCAAATTCCATTTAAATATTTGAAAGTAAATAGGCACATCCTCTTTTCAACTAACGTGGGAACTGAACAGTAGAACATGCTATTAATTCATAAGCTGATGGAAGCAATTCAGGACACCATGTTCCTGGATGACAAGCAGTGCCTTTTCTGTTTTGAGATGGGCTGATGTCTGTTTCTGGACACACAGTGGCCTAGGTACTCTGCTCATCCTTCTTGCTGAGAAAAAAAAATGCTAGGGAGAAGACGCCTGAACATTTCAGAATGTCTTGTAGACCTAAGGAGACACGAGAAAAGACACAACACTTACCTAAAGTGGGGCACCTGTGAAGAGATTCTCCTATAAAAATGTGGCCCTGAAGGGATGCATTCTCTGTAGGGTGAACTAAAGATAACCTGCCCCATCCCTGCATCCTTCACTCCAGCCAGGGGACTGCAAGAAAAACCAGCTAGAATTGTGCCATCCAAAACCATAGCCATGAGCCAACTGTGACTCTTAAATTTCGACTTAAACTAATTAAATTTAAATAGAATTCAACCTTTAGTTCCTCTGTTGTAAGCTACATTTCAGCTGCCCAAAGGCTGCATGGAGATAGTGGCTACCATACTGAACAGGGCAGATAAAGACCACTGCCATCAGCAAAGGAAGCTCTCTTGGATGATGCTGGTATAGCACTGGCTGAAAGGTGAAGAAATCCCTCCCAAGAAGATGGCTCCAAAGAGGGAAGGTGGCCCCAGTGAGCACGTCCTGAGTGGTTCTAACAGCGACCCTTGGGGGATCTGGTTTAAGACAGTTTTTGACCATCACTGCCTGGCAGAAATTAATATATATCATCCCCTCAAAGAACCCACTTTCACCCCAGGCTTCAAGGGATTCCCACAGACAACACTAAAAAGAATCTATGAGCTCACAACGCTAAACAAGATGCCAGTGTGAGGGCAGTGGAAGACAAACAGAAGGCCCAGACCTATGACGACTTCAGGTGTTGGAAACATCAAATACAGAAGATGGCTGAGTTACTATTCCAAAAATCCATCCCTCCATAAAAGCAATGAAAACAATTGGCAAAAAAAATGTCACAAGCAACTTTTTCAGGACACTGGAAACTAATCGGAAGATTCCAGAAACCAGGGGAAACACATAATTTTAAAAATCTAGCTGATTCTCAGTAAAAAAGAGAGCTTGGTAGAATTCTAATGCCGGTTCCATTCTCTGCTACCTAGCTCGAGTAGCCTTGAAAATAACAGTCCAAGCTAGGTGTGGTGGCTCATGGCTGCAATCTTAGCACTTTGAGGGGATGAGGGAGGGGGGATCACTTGAGGCCAGGAGTTTGAGACCAGCCTGAGTGACATAGCAAGGCCTCATCTCTATTTTTTTTAAACACAAAATACAGTAATACTAAAAAGAAATTAACAGCCTAAATGCACAGTATCAGTACCAGACAGAGCAGAATAGACTTCATTCACAAGAAATTATAATTTTTGCTTTCACCTGCCTAGTGGCTTCCTAGAAAAGACCATGTTAAAAGGGTTGCCTTTATCTTGCCTAACATGGAAACTGCCCAGTGCTAACGAGGCTACCTGGAGTGAGGTGAGTGGAGGGATGTTTGCTGAAAACATTCACAGGCAATAGATATCAGTGAGGGCAAATAATGAACTAACGAAAACCTTGGGAGGAAAGGCTGAGGAATGAGATGCTTTGGGGAAGAAGGGCACAGACAAGCTCTAACATATTCCTTGGAATAGAGAAGTCCATGAGTACGCTCCTGGCTCAGGAACAAGCTGAGAAGGCTGAGAAGGCTCCAAGCTCTCATCATTGGCTGACCTCAATGCTCTCAGGAAGCAGGAAGTAAAGGCTAAGTCAGAGCTGGATGAATGCTGGGAGGGCCAGCTCTAATAAACACACACAGTTCTCTTCAGCAAAGACTGAGAGGTTTAAGAAATTTTTTTTTTTTTTTTTTGGTTTCAGGTGTTGAGGAAAATCTTTGTCTAGCCACTAACAGAGACTTCAGCAGCCACACAAAGCAAAGAAAACAGGCTTTACAAAGTTAGTTCAAAAATATCACCAAACAAACAATGAATGCAACCAGCAGCAATAGCTAACCCTGGGGAGGAAAGAATCTGATTTACAAAGTTGCCACGTTATAATGTTCCAAATGGCCAGTTTTCAGTAAAAAATTATAAGGCATGCAAAGAAACAAAAAAATATGATAGCCCATTCAGAGAAAAAATAATTAATAGAAACTGTCCTTGAGGAAGTCCCGGGATTGGATATACTAGAAAAAGACTTTAAATCATATATATACATATATTTTTTGGAGACCAGGTCTTGCTATGTTGTGCAGGCTGGTCTTGAACTCTCTTGGGCTCAAACCATCCTCCCACCTTCACCTTTTTTTTTTTTTTTTTTTTTTTTTGCGACAGAGTTTCGCTCTGTTGCCCAGACTGGAGTGCAGTGGTGTGATCTCGGCTCACTGCAACCTCCACCTCCCAGATTTAAGCATTTCTCCTGCCTCAGCCTCCTGAATAGCTGGGACTACAGACGCCCGCCACCACACCAGGCTAATTTTTGTATTTTCAGTCGAGATGGGGTTTCACCATGTTGGCCAGGCTAGTCTTGAACTCCTAACCTTGTGATCTGCCCACCTCGGCCTCCCAAAGTGTTGGGATTACAGGCATAAGCCACCACGCCTGGCCCCTAAATCATATTTTATCTAAAACACATTTTATCTAAAAATATGTTCAAAGAAATAAAGAAAACTTGAGTCTAAAGGACTAAAAGAAAGGCCAGGCATGGTGGCTCACATCTATAATTCTAAAGCTTTGTGAGGCCAAGGTGGGTGGACTGCTTGAGGCCAGGAGCTTGATACCAGCCTGGGCAACACAGTGAGACCCTGTCTCTATCAAAAATTTAAAAATTTGGCAGGTGTGGTGGGGTATGCCTATAGTTCCAGCTACTCAGGAGGCTGAGGCAGGAAGCTTGCTTGAGCCCAGGAGTTTGAAACTGCAGTGAGCTATGACTGTTCCACTGCACTTCAGCTTAGTGACAGAGTGAGACCCTTTCTCAAAAAAAAAAACAAAAAAAACAAACAAAAAAAAAACCGAAACAAAAACATGAAAATGATGCTTCAGCAAATTGAGAATACCAATAGATAAAATTTACTTAAAAAAATAGAACTTCTGGAATTGAAAAATACAATAAGTGAAATGAAAAGTTCAACAGAGGGACTCAACAGCAGAGCTGAGCAAAAAGAAGAAAGAGTCAGTGAACCTGAAGTCAGGTCAAATGAGATTATTCACTTTGAGGGAAAGAAAGGAAAAAAAGAACAAAGAAAAATGAGCAGAGCCTAAGAGATCTGTGGGACATAACCAAGCACACCAACATACACACAATGGGAGGCCCAAAGTGAAGGAGAAGAGTACTTGAAGAAATAATTGCCAAAACTCCCAAAATTTGACACAAAAATCTATACATTGAAAAGCTTAATAAATTTCAAGCAGGATAAAGTAAACATGATCCACGTAAAGACACATCATAATCAGGTTGCTGAAAGACAAAGAATGAATCTTGAAAGCAGCAAGACATGCCTTGTCACATACATGGGATTATCAATAAGATGAACTGCTGATTTGTCATCAGAAATCATGGAGGCCAGAAAGTAGTGGAATGGCATTCAAAGTGTTGTAAGAAAAAAAAAATATCAAACAAGAATTCTATGTGTGACAAAACCTCCTTTCAAAAATGAAGGCAAAATTAAGACATTACCAGAAACATAAAAACTGAGCAAGCCTTCATTGGCAGATTTATCCTACAAAAAAAAACACTAAAGAGACTCCAACAGGCTGAAATGAAAGGACACTAAACAACAACTCAAATCCATATGAAAAAACAAAGACAGTGGTAGAAGTAACAACACATGCGAATATAAAAGACAATATACATTTTTAATGTGTAATGCTCTTTTTTCCTATCTGATTCAAAGAAAGCATAAAGCAATGACTATAAATCTATGTTGATAGTATATAATTTATAAAGATACACTCTGTGACAATAACAACAGGAAGTGAAGTGGAGAATGGAATTGTATAGGAGCAAAGTTTTTTTAATATACCATTGAAATTAAATTGGCATTAACCTAACCAGATTATTATAAATTGAGATGTTAAATGTAACACCAAGGACAACTAAAGAAAATAACTCAAAAATATATAGTAAAATAAATAATAAAGGAATTAAAATGATACCCTGGGCAGTGGCTATTCAGTACAAAAGAAAGGAGTAATAAAAGAACTGAGGAATAGAAGATGTGACGTTAAAACAAATACAGAAATAATGAGATAAACACCCCCCCCTTTTTTTTAATCAGTAAAGAGATTAAACTCTCCAGTGAAAAGGTAGGGATTGGCTGAAAAGACACTAAACAAGATGCAATTATTTATCTTCTACAAAAGACTCATTTTAGATTCAAAGACAAATAGGCTGAAAGTAAAAAGATGGAGAAAGACATTCCATACAAATAGTAACCAAAAGAGAGCCAGGGTGGCTACACAAATATCAGGCTATACTAACTTTAAGACAAAATTGTTATAAAAGACAAAAGGGCATTATATAATAATGAAAGGGTCCATCTATCATAAAGTTACAATTATAAACATGTATGTGGCCAGGCATATATGTAGCTCATACCTGTAATCCCAGCACTTGGAAGGCAGAGGCAGGCAGATCATTTGAGGTCAGGAGTTTGAGACCAGCCTGGCCAACATGATGAAACCCCATCTCTACTAAAAATACAAAAACTAGCCGGGTGTGGTGGCACATGCCTGCAATCTCAGCTACTCAGGAGGCTGAGGCAGGAGAATTGCTTGAATCTGGGAGACAGAGGTTGCAGTGAGCCGAGACTATGCCATTGCACTTCAAGCCTGGAGGCAAAGTGAGACTCCATCTCAAAATAACCCAACCAACCAACCAAATATATATGCACCTAATAACAGTCCCAAAATATAAAGAGACACAAACAGAAACACACAGGAATAATTATATGTGATAACAGAGGCAGAGACTGGAGCAATGCATCTGTACGCCAATAAACGGCATGACTGCTGGCAATACCAGAAGCTAAGAGAAAGGCATGAAATATATTCTCCCCGACAGCCTTCCAAGAGAGCATGGCTTTGCCAACACCTCGATTTCACACTTGCAGCTTCCAGAACTGTGAGAGGTATGTCTCTGTTGTTTGAAGTCACCCAGTTTGTGGTGCTTTGTCTTGGCATCCCTGGGAAGCTAACAAAGTGCCAGTTAAAAATGGGCCGAATATTTGAATAGCCATTTTTTCCAAAGAAGATACATAAGTGGCCAATGAGCACATGAAGAGATACTCAATACCTTTAGTCATTAGATAAATGGAAACCAAAAGTACAACAAAATACCTCTTCACATCTGCTAGAATGGCTATAATTAAACAATAACAACAAAGAAAGTAGCCATTGTGAGGATGTGGAGAAACTGGAAGCTACACACACGGCTGGTGGAAATTCAAACTGGTGCAGCTGCCACGGAAAATAGTGTGGTAGCTCCTCAAGAAGTTAAATATAGAGTAAACCACATGATCCAACAATTCCACTTCTAAGTGTATACCCGAAAGGATTGCAAACGGGTGCTCAAACAAAAAACGTGTATACAGGTGGTCATAACAGCACCATTCACACTAGCTGAAAGGTAGACACAACTGCAGTGTATATCTATGAATGAATGCATAAATAAAATGTGGTGTACCCATACAGGGATTACTGCTTAACCATTAAAAATGAATGAAGCACTGACATGTGCTACAATACCAATGAACACTGAAAACATTATGCAAAGCTAAAGAATCTAGACACAAACGGCCACATGGTATACATATATGATTCAACTTCTGGAAAATGTATAGAACAGGAAAATCTATAGAAACAAAAAATAGATGAGTGGTAGCCAGCGGCTGGGGAGGGGGAAGGGAGTAGGAAGCAACTGCCTAACAGGTACAGGCCTCTTATTGGGGTGATAAAAATATTCTGGAATTTAGACAGTGATTGGTGATGGTTCTACAAATTTGTGACTACATCAAAAGCCTAAAAATGAGCTAGAAATGGTAAAATGTGGGGTACGAAGCTCTTGATTTAAACACATGAGAAACTACTATGTACCAAGAGGCTGCAAACTCAATCATCTATGGAAGGCAGAGGCAAGAAACCTAAGTGAAGGGCCCTGACTACATGTAAGAAGAATGAGATGGTGGTGGCAGTGTGTTTGGGCAGCATTCTCCTTTTCTACACTGAGTCACTTTCCAATCCCAGGCACCTGTTGCCAGAAGGAAGGAAACTGTGCCAAATGTTGCAAGATACAATTTTTTAAAAGAGCTAGAAATGGAAATTTTGGGGGTGAAATCTCTTGATTTAAATAAGCGAGAAACTAATATTTTTTAAAAAATAAGCTGAACAAATCATTTTAATAGCACAGATTCATCCTGTGGGCTGCTGGAATGCAATCTCAGTTTAATATGACTTTAATATTGCTTCAGGGTCTCCCTAATCTGGCCCTATTCACCTCTCTGAGCCTCCAGGCCTACAGACACAGTAGAGCTCTCCACCTTCACATAGAAAGCAGATACTTTCAGAGCTACGCGCCCAGACCACTTTCTAGTGCCTGGAATCACGATCCCTGTCTTAATGGCTTCTTTGTCCTGGACTCACCTAAATATCACCTCCCTTAGAAGGCACCCTCCACTGCTTCCTGAAGGAGGAATCATTCCTTCTCCCGGCCCTGAAGCACACAAGACCTCACCACCTGTCCTGTAATGACTCGTCCCCCATATTCCTATGGGGCGCAAACTAGACAGCAAAGACCAGGGCTTGGCCTTCTATACTTATGTGCACAAGGCTTGCGGGAACATTTTTACTGTGCTTTTAAAACATTTGTGTGCAAAATGCAAAACGCAAAACGCTTATGGATTTGATTCACAATACAGAACATTAGTTTAAATTTTTTCCCATTTCCTGACATTTTGAAAGCAACTAAAAGTCAACTACTTAAAACTTCAATCACCATCACCTTCCCATAAAGAAAAACAGCAGCCCAGTTTTATGGAGTGTCTTCTATGAGATGAACTAGCCTACCCTTTGTCTGCCTTTGATTTTCTGCAGATTTGGCCTTTTCAACATTTGCTGGAACAGCTATAGGTCGATCCTCTTGTTCTTCCACGTTTAAATTTGAAATTTTCAGAAAGATTTCGTCACTTCCTTTGTCTCCTGGCATCGCTCCCAAATGTAAGAATTGCTCCTTTGTTCTTTCAGCCAATCTTCTTTCAGGCAATAACTGCTCTTTCTCCTGCCTTTCCTGGAGCTAGAAAACAACAATAAATATTCAAACAAATACACTATTAATTTCAATATGATTAAATTTTTGCCTGGATAAACCACAGAATACAAAAAGCAAAGCAAAAGTTGAAGATTATGCATCACAATGTTAATTATTTCGCATCAGGGCTGTGGCAGTGAAACTTAACACTTTTTTAAAAACTTAATGTACCTTACAGTATTCCAATTAGCACAACTTCTAAAATCTTTTAAAAAAAGAACATAAGATCTCTCAGGATTTTCCTGGGAAGTATTTTTACCGTCTTTAATTGGAAAAATACCTTGTCCAGACATAGTACTGCATAAAAGCTGACTTGAATTTTTTTTTTTTTTTTTTCATGTAAGGGGTTGGTTTATTAAAACCAGCTGTACCTTAGTCAGTCCAGCACTTTCAGCCAGGCTCGCTGCTAACTTGCTCTCTTCACTGGCCAGCACATTATCCTCTAGAAGGTGGAGCTGCAACACCTCCATCTCTTGCAGGGAGTACAGCTCTTCCTGGATACTAATGGCCAAATACTGCTGCAAGCTCTGCTGGGGCCCCTCCTCAAGCCACAGCAACCCAGGGCCAGCCTGCTGCACCATCACCTGCCCCCCTTCCTGCTGCTGTATGCTCAGCAAGCTCAAATCCTGCAACTCGAAAGCTTCAGACGTGAAGGGCGCCGTCTGCAGGGTCAGGATGTGCTTCTCACTCTCCTCGGAGGAAGCGGGCACCAGCTCCAGCTCTTCCTCCAGGACACTGTCCTGGAGGGCCCCAGCGGTACACTCGGCCTCCAGCTCACCAGGACTCCGATGGTCTTTCTCTCTGTACACTCCGTCTTCTTCCTCCTCCTTCAGGCCTTTTTCCGGCATCAACTCGAGTTCTTTGATTTTGGTGAATTGCTCAGAAAGGACAGAGATCTCAGTGGCTGCCATGATGACTTGGAGCCTGTATGAGAAAGAAGCAAGCGATTTTCACAGGGGGAGAAAAGGGGGTGCTGGGGCCTAGCAGGCTTTGGAGTTGAAATAAGGTCTGGCCTCAAAAGGCTTTGGACCTAGTAGCATCGGGACAATGCTGATCTGGCCTGGGTCTAGGAGGGGGTGGAGGCTGAGCAGGATTTATCTGAAGCAGGATTTTGCACAAAACTCTAGGAGGAACAGGTTTGGGCCTCTGCAGGCTTGGGGCACATCCTGAGCCTAGCAGGGTCCCGCCTGAGCAGGCTCCGGCCCGGTGCGTATCCTGGGCCTAGCGAGGTTCGGGCTCTGGGTCAGTGCATGTGCATATCCCAAGCGTAGCAAGGTTCGGGCCCTAGCAGGCGCTGGGCCTGTGCCCATCCTGGGCCTAGCGAGGTTCGGGCGGACATTCCCCTGGTGCACGGTTCTGTACCTAGAACCCTCAGAGCCAGGCAGGCTTTGGGCCTAGTGGCCTCGACCCCACCCAGACTTGGCCAAGCAGGCCTCAGCCAGGCCAAACACACCCATCTGGAGGCCTGGCAGTGCCCCTGCTTTACGCTGCCCCCCACACCCGCCCCACCCTCCGGGGCAGCCCCTCAGCCTCTGCCGCCTGCCCTCGGGCCTTTCCGGCCAACCCCTCCGCCCACGCCCACAGCAGCCCTTGCTCTTGGAGGAGGGCCGGAGGGCTGGATCCTGCCCGGGGCGGCCCCTCACCGCCAGAGGCGTGACCGGTGTGCCCTGCCCACTGCGTGGGTCTCCTGTGGGCTCCACCTCGTGCGCCAGGTGCTGCAGGCCACAGCCCGCCGCCGCCAGGCTGGCGCGAGTGGAGCGTGGCAGTGCGCAGGCGCGGGGCGGAAAGAGGGGGCGCGAGGGGTCGCGAGGGGGCGGAGCCAGGCGGGGTTGGGGGAGGGGTGATTACTGTGGGGGGAGGGGAGGAGGGCCCCGCAGAGGGCATTGGTGAACCTGGGGTTGTGCGTGAAGAGCGGAGGAGGGTCTCACACGGGGCACTGGGAGACCTGGAGGGGGTGAATAACGAGGGGAGGAGGGTCTGCAGGGGTCGCTGGAAGACCTGGGTAGGTGGGCGCCTAAGAAAGGGAGGAGGGCACTGCAGGGGGCGCTGGGAGACCTCAGGGGTAAGCCGAGGAGGGCACGAGGGCCTGCAGGGGGCCAGGGAGACCTGTTGGGGGTGGTGGATAAGGAGGAAAAGAGGGCCCGTAAAAGACACTGAGATACCCGGGGGAGGAGTGGGTAAGGGGGGTGGAGGGCCTGCAGGGGGCGCTGGGAGACCTGGGGGACTGGGGGATGAGGAATGGATAAGGAGGGGAGGGAGGTCCTACAGGGGAGCTGGGGGAGGATTAGGAGGACAGGAGGGTCTGCAGGGGGCCCTGGGAAACATGGGGGGGTGGATAAGGAGGGGAGGAGGGCCTGCAGGGGGCGCTGGGAGATCTGGGTGGGGGTGGGGGCGTGAGGAATGGATAAGGAGGGGGGAGGGCCTGCAGGGGGCGCTGGGAGATCTGGGTGGGGGTGGGAGTGGTCAGGAATGGCTAAGGAGGGGGGAGGGCCTGTAGGGGGCGGTGGGAGAAATGGGTGGGGGTGGGAGTGGTCAGGAATGGCTAAGGAGGGGGGAGGGCCTGCATGGGGCGCTGGGAGATCTGGGTGGGGGTGGGAGTGGTCAGGAATGGCTAAGGAGGGGGGAGGGCCTGCAGGGGGCGCTGGGAGATCTGGGTGGGGGTGGGGGGGTGAGGAATGGATAAGGAGGAGAGGAGAGCCCTGCAGGGGCGCTGGGGGAGGATTAGGAGGACAGGAGGGACTGCAGGGGGCCCTGGGAGACCTTGGGGAGGGGCGAGGAATGGATAAGGAGGGGAGGAAGGTCTGCAGGGGGAGCTGGGAGACTTGGAGGGGAAAGGAATGGATAAGAGGAGGAGGAGGGCCCTGCAGGGGGCGCTGGGAGACCTAGGCAGGGGTGGGGGCGAGTGGAAGGATAAGGAGGGGAAGTGGGAGAGGCCGGGGAAGGGGACACCAAGAGATTTGGGTGGGAAATGGATACAGCGGGGACTGGGGCGGGAGAGACCTTACAAGGATTCTGGGAGATGGGGTGGGGTGGGCTGGACAGGGCAGGAGTGGAGGGCGAGGAGGGCCCCCTAGGAGCTATGGAGAACTGAGCAGGAACCAGGCGGGGGCTGGGAATGTGCAGGGAAGGAGACTTGGAAGGAGGGGGAGATAGGGCAGCAGGGGTGATGGAGACTGACAGGGACCCCAGATGTGGGGGCAGGGGATGGGGATGGAAATAAAGGGACAGAAAGAGGGTTCGTGGTGGGAAAGGGGAGGAACTCCGAGGGGCCCGGGGCACAGACGTGTGCAGAGTTGCCGAGTCCTGAGCACCCTCGAGGGAGCAGAGGGAGCTCAAGGAACGAGGAAGAGAGGGGACGACGAGGCAGACAGACGAGGGCAGAAAAGGGAGAACTTCTGTAGGCGGGTGTGGAGGAGGATGAGCGTCCGAGGGAGAAGACAGGGGAGTTGAGCAGAGAAAGGGCAGGAATGTGGCGGCTGGAAAGGGAGAGGAGGCAGCCGATGGAGCCGGGGTGCTTTGGACTTCATGCGTTCTTCCCAGGAGCTCATTTAGGGCAGGTGGGAGGGTGGGGCCATGGAGGACAGGCGTGTACCAGGAAGAAGGTAGACGCAACGGGGCGGCAACACTCTGAACGGGCTGAAGCACACTGGACTGTTCACTCTAAAGTGGTTCATTTTGTTATGCGCGTTTTAACTTCAGTCAATTACTGTTAATGGAAATTAATCGTACTGATGGTCTCTAGAAGAAGTTGGGTTGATACCTCCAACCAGATTTTTAAAAATGCAAATTTGCAGCCAACGAGTGATTGAAATAATTTGTACCTCACTGATTTAAGGTACAGCTTACAACATTCCAGGAACTGTTGTTTTCACTTTTGTTTCAAAATTTTAACGGCATTTCATTTGCTGATTGTGAGTAAATATTTGTATGCTGCGAAAAACAGATCCAAAAACAACAGCTCAGAGGAGAAAGTATGGCAAACAGGAGATTGGAGATTGATCCCCAAAACTCCTGGAGTGACGAAAATTGACCTGGATGAGGAAATGGTTTCACTTGGCCTTCTTTTGTTTAAACATATCTACCAATCCCAGGGATGGATTTCCCTCCCATCCATAGCCAGAGAACTTTCTGTATCCATCAAAGTGCTTTCTCTGTGTTTGCCTGCTGTCCACAGCTCCCTCTTTGCATGTCATCCGCAAATAGTATATACTCAAAGATTATTTTCATTTTCAATAGTATTAAAGATAGAACGAAATTCAGTTTTGAAAGACACCCAGGTAGCAGTGGTAGTACGCTTGGCAGTGATATTCGTGGCTCCCTAGTTTCTGGGTGGTGTCTGCGGTTTCTGTCACAGCATGTGTCCTATATGAAGAAAATACATATTTGGAGGTCACTGGGAAAATAGTGTGCTACAATGACTTATTTTAAATCATTTAAATGACTCTTTCTTCTGGAACAATCAGCATGTATTTAGTGCATTTTTGGTTAATTTTGCATGATAGCTGTGACACTCAGGCAGCTAGAAAGTTTTTCAGAGTTTATATTATGGAATCATGTTTAGAAAATTTCAAATACCCATTTAAAAGGTGTTTTTTAAAAAGGAGATCTAAAGCCAGTGGGAGGAGGGATAGAGAAAGGGGAAACTGAGTTAGACTTGAAGGGGACAAAGGGGCTTAAAAAGAGAAAGAGATGGCAGGGGAGGGCTGAGGAGGGGGAGCGAGGACCAAGCAGACAGGGGAGACAGGCCTGCAGTTGGTAAACTTTGCTCCTTCCCCGGGTTCTTGGATAATATTTGCGGGGAGGTGCTCCAAGCCAGACCTGCAGGATTTCCGCTCATAGGCCCGTGCGACCCAGGAAACTGTTTAGAAAAGTAGGATGTGGGATCCTACTTGTATCCCGAGTGTGCGGAGCAGTTTCTGCCAGGTAAACTTTACATCTCTGCTTTTTAGGGGATCAAGATAGACTGCAAGGCAAGGTGCTTGTATTTAGTCTCGGATGAAAGAACAGTGGACTCCGGTGCTCACACCCTCCTTGTCAAGTCTCGGTTCCTCAGATGGGCTTCAGTTTCTCCTTTAACCAGTGCTATGTACCTGTCCAGCCTTTTTATCTGTGGAGTTCTGTCCCCGCTCCACCCAGACCATGTCCTCCTTATCCCCAGGGGCTGTGCTGGAAGTGGATGTCAGGGAACCAAGTGTGTCTTATTGCTGGCATCCAAACCCTGCTGAGACCCAGGCCCTCCTCATTGTAAATGCTATGTGGTCTCCTACAGATGCCCAGGTGTGGTGACAGCCTGCCGTGTGTTCCCCCAGTGCCTGCTGTGGAGCTCGGTCATTGGCCTGCTCCAGCTGACAGTGATATTTCTTATGCCTTTTGTACTTGATGTTTGGGGACTTCCACATGGTGGACAGGCGAGCTTTGCTCTCCCAGCTGCCAGCTGGCTGTAGTGCATGTGTTTTGCAGGTGGTATTGCTTTGTGATGGGTCCACACTATCAGCTTATCAGGCAATGTTCTCAAAGGAAAGGAAGGCGTTGCAAAGTGTGTGGCACAGTTAGGAGCTATACACATATTACTGTGTCCCCCCAAATTCATATGTTGAAGTCCCAACCCCTAGTACCAGGGGATACAAATGTCACCATATTTGGAGGTAGGACCTTTAAAGAGGTAATTTAGTTTAAACGAAGGCCTTTGGGGGCAGTAGGTCTGGGGGAGAACTAAGCCACCTGACTGTATTAGGGCCTCCAAAGAGGTGATTATTAAAATGACAGTGAGAGGAGGGGCTCTAATCCTACCTGGCTAAGGTCCTTAGAAGAAGGGAAAAGACGCCAGGGAAGTGCACAGAGGAAAGGCCGTGTGAAAGCAGCAAGAGGATGGCCTTGTGTACGCAGAGAAGGGGGCCTCAGGAGACCCAAA